AGCTTAATTTACGCTTTCTAACGATATAAAAATTTTAAAATTTGACCTACTATTAATAAACTAAATAAATATTTAAATATAATAGTTATATTAAACGCGTTCGAGATCGAATAATAATTCTTTTATCTATTTATTTATATAATTATTATTTTTTTCCTACTCTATTAATTCTATTAATTCTATTAATTCTATTAATATAAATATAATCGCTCTTAATACCTCTCGCGAAAACGTTATTAAACGCTTTAGATATATATATTCCTTTTACTCGCCTCTTAGAGCCTCTATTAACGCGAATTTATTATTATTAATAATCGAGGTTGTAAGCGAGCTTAACAGTTATCTATTACTACTTATAAACGCGTTAGAAAGCTCTTAAAAAGAGCTCGAACGGATTTATAGCTATTATTCTCTCTTATATATTACTCGATTAATTACTTAATTAATACTATCTATTCTATTGACTTAATAATCTATTTAATTAAATCGTTAATTAGTTATTTAGTTATTTACTTAATTAATTACTTAATTAACTATTTAATCTAATACTCTATAAAAAAAGAGTAAGAGAAGAAATTATAATAGATAAATACGGAGAATACTATAGAGAATACTATAGAGAATACTACGGAGAAATTAAGCGGTAATAAGATTATTATTATTAAGAATATAGCTTAGCTCTTCGAGATCCCACGTTATATACTCTTTATAATTTTATATTAAATTATTATTTAATAAGCGAAGAATACTATTATGATTTAGCTTATTATTCTTACTATATTAAGAAGTAAGAGAAGAAATTATAATAGATAAATATAAAGAATATTATAAAGAATACTATAGAGAATATTATAGAGAAATTAAGCGGTAATAAAGCTTTTAATATTAAAAATATAGCTTAACTCTTTAAGATTTTACGTTATATACTCTTTATAATTCTATATTAAATTATTATTTAATAATCGAAGAATATTATTATAATTTAATTTATTATTTCTACTATATTAATATAATATATTATTATAATAATATTATAAGAGAAGAATCTACTACGATAATTATAGTTAATTAAATATTTATAAAAGAAATATTATAAGAAAAGAAATTATAATAAATAAATATGGAGAATATTATAAAGAATATTACGAGAATACAAAATACTATAGAGAAATTAAATAGTAATAAGATTATTATTATCAAGAATATAGCTTAGCTCTTCGAGATTCTACGTTATATACTCTTTATAATTCTATATTAAAGTATTATTTAATAAGCGAAGAATATTATTATAACTTAATATTACTATTATCTCTACTATATTAATATAATATATTAATATAATATATTAATATAATATATTACTATAATAACGTTATAAGAGAAGAATTTACTACGATAATTATAGTTAATTAAGTCTCTATAGAAGAAATATCGAACGATATATATTTAAACGAATTAAAATCGTTCGATATCTATAGCTATTTTATTATTCGAAAGATTTTACTACGGGATTTATATTACTAATTAATACGTTATCTTTATTTCTTTTCGATATTTCGATACTCCTTATTATAAGGATATAGTCTTTCACTATTTTTTATAAGTAATTATTATGAATTAATTTTTTATACACTTAATATATCTTCCTAATTAGACTTTAGCGCGCTTCTTCGTATATATATATCTATAGACTCTATAGATTAATAATATAACTTTATATTATATTAATATTATATAATATTAAGAATTATTCCTTAATAATAATTCTAATTAAAAAAATAGATTATAAATTTAATTTATGGGCCTAAACCTATTCGATATAATTTATTTATAAATAACAAGTTTAGGCCTATGAATTAAATTCATAAAAAGTAATTGAATTTTTGAATTTGATTTCGAGATTGAATTCTAATTTTAAGATGAAATATTACTCTCAGAGAGTGTAATTACTTTAATTTAAAACTATAAAATCGAATTTTATAAATTTTAAATTATTAAAAAGCGTGAAATCAGTTCTATAACTAATTAAAATAATAGTAAAATTTAAATAGAAAAAAGAGAAGTTATATTAATAATAAGTTTCTAAAGAGTTAATTAACTTTTAATTAAATTTAATTTAGTTAACAAGAAGTTAATCTTAATATCTATTATAGTATTTTTATATTAATTATTATTATTATTATTATTTTTATAATTCATAGAATTTTTATTATTTTTATTACTTTTACAATTTGACGATAATTAGAATTTTAGAATTTTAGAATTTTTTAGCGAGGGAGATTAATATATTTACATCCAGAACGAAGTAGAATAATTTCGAAGTTTATTGAAATTATTACTACTCGATTATTTAAGTTTATATTAAATAGTTTTATTAATAGAGTAAATATAATTTTAATAAGTAATCTTTAAATACTTATAAGACTAAATTTAATAATTTTTTTTTAAACACGTGCACTACGTTTTATAATTTAAAAAGAAATTAGAAATATTTAATAGAAAAAAGAGAACTTATATTAATAATAAGTTTATAAAAAATTAATTAGCTTTAAATTAATTGAGATTTAATTAATAAGAAGTAAATTTTAATATATATTATTATTATTTTATATTAATTATTATTATTTTTAAATTTAAAATTTTTAGAAATTTTACGAATTTTACGAATTTTACGAATTTTACGATTTTACGATTTTACGATTTCTTAGCGAGAGAGATTCATGAATTCGAACCGAGGACGAAGCGGAATAGTTTCGAAATCTATTGAAATTATTATTACTCGACTATCTAAGCTTATATTAAAGAGTATTCTTAATAAAGTAAATAAGTTTTTAATAAGCGATATTTGAATTCATTATCTTCAAATGTTTATAAGACTAAATTATATAATTTTTACTTTTTTAAAAGCGTAAATTATTTTCTATAATTTACAAAAAAAAATCCTAAAAATTTATCAGAAAATAAAGAAGTTATTTAAAAATTAAATAATGTGTACTATTCTAGTTATTACTAAAGATATATTACCGTTATATAACGGTTCTATAACTAATAACCGATATACAACCGATGTATTACCGATATACAATCGATATACAACCGAGATAAAACCCTATTCATACTCGATAGAAGAATTATTCCTACTCATAATTTCACATCGATTGTTCAACGGTCACGTGACAGTTGTCGAGCGGTTATAAAACGGTTATAGAACGGTTATAGAACGGTTATATAAATAATCTATATAATAACTAAAAATAAATTTTAATTTTAAAGTTCTTTATAGGGCTGAAAATTCGCTTAGTATATATAAGCTTAAATATTAACGCTAGTAACTTAAAATTCGTTTTTTTCGAATTTTAGCGAAATTTTTATATTAGAAGATATATTATATAATACTACTAGCCTATTCGAGACTTAGTAAAAAAATAAAAATAAAAATATATTATTATAACGATTATAAAACGGTTGTAGAACGGTTGTAAAACTATAACCGTAGTGGGTTCTAAGGGAAGAGGTCTATAGTTTACGACGGTTGTAAAACGATTATAAAACGGTTGTGAATCGGTTCTAGAACGGTTTTTCAACTAGCATAGAATCGTTATAATACCGTTTTACAACCGTAATACGCTAGTTCTATAACTTTACAAACGGGCAGGACAGTATATATTTTTTAATTAGGACTGTCGAGCGAACTTTAAAGAGCGATATTCGAATTCTTTACCTTTTAAATATTTATAAGACGAAATTGAAATATTCTTTTTTTATTCGAAAGCCTATATTACGTTCTATAATTTAAATGAAATTCAAATATTTTAATAGAAAACAAAAATGTTATTCTAAATTTAAATAAGATATATCTATTTTTTGATTAGAGCTATCGAGCGAACTTTAAAGAGGGATATTTAAACTTCTTACCTTTAAATATTTATTAGACTAAGTTTAATAATTCTTATTTTATTTAAAAGCCTATATTACGTTCTATAATTCGAAGAAAGAATCCTTAAATTTTAATAAAAAATAAAAAGGTTATTCCAAAATCAAATAATATGCACCTATTTTTTAATCAGGGCTGTCGAGCAAATTTGGCGAGCGAACTTTGATAAGCGATATTTGAATTCCATGCCTTTGAAAAAGTATAAGACTAAATTTTTCACTTTTTCATTATTGAAAAGCGCAAATTGCGGGCTATAATTTGAAAAAAAAACCTTAAAATTTTAATAGAAAATAGTAAAGTTATTAAAGGGTTAAAAAGTAGAATAAAAGTTTTTAATAGTTACGGCCGCTAATTTGTTTACCCGCGGTGTCTAACCAAAAAGCGTAGATCTAATAAATTTATGATTGGCTGCACATATAAATTTAAGATTTCATAGCTTAATCTAATCTTATTCTTATATATATATTAATAAGTTTAAAAATATTTAATTCATTAATATAATTTATAAGTAAGATAAATAATATAAAGATTTATAAAAGAGAGTTAAATAATAAATCTTATAAATTTAAAATTATAAAATTTAAATAATTATATAATATTCTTTAAATAATATTTAATTTATAATTTTTATAAATAATTTAAATAACTTTAATAATAATAGATAATAAATTTAAGTTTAAATATATTTTTTTAGATTATATTATTAATATAAATATAAATATAGTATTTAATTAAGTAAATTAAATAATTTATATTAAAGATATTTAAATTAAAAGCTTTTATATAAGTAATTAATTATATTATATTAATTTTTTTTATATTATCAAGGAAATGGATGACTGGGTCCTAAATTCATGTGTGGTGTAAAAGATGTTGATTATTCTATGTGCCTGCAGGGCAGATATGTGTGGTGCCAAGCCACGCTAGGCCCAATTGGGTGGTGGCTCTGGAGGAGGCCTTGGCGTACCGTAACAACATGCCCGCAAAGAATGAAAAAAAGACACGTCCTCGTGGCTGCATCCCTGGATAGCTACATTGAGCATGCGCCGTCCATATATCCATACATCTATCCTTGGCCTATAGCCTCCATATCCTTCGCGAATCGAGTGTAACCGAGCGGAGAGGCGAAAGCGAGAAGAGAGGTGAGAAGGGTGGCGAAAACTGGTGTATTGCTGAGGCGAGGGGAAGGTTCTCCGCAAATATGCATAGTGGCCTGGTGTGGAATTATGGAGAGTGTGCCCGCTTGAATAGGACTGCTGTGGTCCGTGCTCTTGTTCTTCTCCATAGTCTTCTCCGTAAATTTCTCCGCAGTTTTCTCCACATTTGCCTGTTGTAGATCGAAGTATCCCATCTCCTTCGCTCGTAAGTGGCCTGGATTTGTATGGTAGGACGAGTCGTTCGTGTGAGAGAGTTTCTGCTGTGGTATTTCAATGCTAGGAAGCGGAGTCGCATTGGGAGGCGGAGTAGGATTGGGAGATGAAGTAGGATTTTAGAGCTATATATCTTACTTATATATTAAATTTCGAGAAAAATCGAAAAATCGAAAAATTAATCACGTGACGTTGATAAGTAGACTATTATAAGCGAAGCGAGATACTCGAATTAGTATAAACCTTAATATATAATAAGGGAATCACTAAATAATTCTATATTTATTTCGAATATCGAATAACTTACTATTATAGAAAATTTAATATTAATGAAAAGTTAATTGAAAGTTAATTGAAAGTTAATTGAAAGTTAATTGAAAGTTAATTGAAAGTTAATTGAAAGTTAATTGAAAGTTAATTGAAAGTTATAATCAATATGGAGTTAATGATAAAATCACGTGACATACTCTAATCGTATATTTCCTCTAAGGTATTTAATTTCGAAGAAATAAATAAAATCGTAATTGATTTCATATTAATCTTTTAGTTTTTTATAGAATGTTAATTTAGAAACTATTTAATTAATATTTAATATCTATTTTAACTAATATTGTTAGATATTATAGAGATTATTAAAAGAGATTTTCTTTATATTAATAATATAGATATAAGCGATATTTCTTATATATAATATATATAACTTATTTTAATTAATTCTTATATTAATTATAGCGTAATAAATCTTTAAAATCGCTATTATAATATTTATCTCTTCTTAAAATCGTATTATAATTATAATATTAAAAATATATTCATTATTTTTGATACTTTATTCTTTATTTATATTTTTAAAATTTAAAAGTTATAGATAATATATTAGATTAAGCTTTTAATTATAATTATAAATAGAGAATAGCTTAAAGAGTCTCTCTATTTTATACTATTTTATATTATAATTTTTTTTAATATAAATACTAATATAGATTTTAATTTTAATTTTTCTATAGATAAGCTATACCTAGATTATAATTTTTTTAAATACATTTAATTCTTTTAAAATTATTAGAAGAGATTTATAATTAATTTAATTATATACTTTTTTCTAATTAAGAAAAAGAATAATCTTTCTCTCTTACTTTTATAATAAATTTATAATAAATTTATATTTAATTACTAGATATTAAATTATGTTAATATTATTATTAATAAGTCTTTTCGATAAAAACATTAATTATTAATTATTAATTATTTCATTAAAACTTTTTATTGGATATTATATTAACATATTTATAAAGATTTTATAATTTATATTTTCAATAAATAAAGAATAATAATATTTAATATCGGGGGTTTTTTTTTAAAGGAATATTAAGAACCTTATTCGTTTAATATTTCGAGAGTTTTTACTTTCGCTATATTTAATTATAGAAAAAAATTAATTAAATAATAAAAATTGAGATTTTTTTCTTCTTATATCTTATAACGATTTTATAAAATTTATTTAAATTTACTTAATGAGATTTTTAAAAACATTTAATAAATAGCGATTTATTATTGAAAGTAGGATACCAGACATGTTAGAAATTGAATGATTGTGGACTGAAAGACTGATTATTGATTCATGGGATGTACGGATATTTATGTACATAAAATAGGTGGCTGATGGTGGCTGGTAATTACTAGCCTGGTAATACGCGATATGTTATGCGATAGCCGAAGGGGCTAATATTATAACATTTATATCTTTTAAATTTTAAAATTATATCAGTATATATAAAAGAATAAGGTAGGGCTGAACTAGAAAACCTTGAATTTGTATGTGCAGCCAATCATCAATTCGTCAGGTCTACGCTTTTTGGTTAGACACCACGGGTAAATAAATTAGCGTCCGCAACCATCAAAAATCTCTCCCCCTACTTTTAACCCTTTAATAACTTTACTATTTTCTATTAAAATTTTAAGATTTTTTTTTAAATTATAGCCCGCAACTTGCGCTTCTTAATGCTTTAAGAATTTTGAAATTCGGTCTTATAATTATTAAAAAGCAAGGTATTCAAATATCGCTCACCAAAGATCGCTCATTAAAAATCGCTCATCAAATTTACTCGATAGCCTTGATTAAAAAAATGATTATGAATTTAATTCATAGGCCTTTACTCGTATATATTTAATATATTATTCATAATTTTTCCAATTTTTAAGATCTTCTCTATATTTTAATTATTTTATTTTATTAATAAACTTATTAATAATAGTTATATAGCTTTTAAATTCAATAATATTAATCTTAAATAAAAAATAAAAAATTTAAAAATTTTTAATTTTTTAATTTTTTTTAATATATATCTAAATATATTTTTATTTTTATTTTTAAAAGATAATTAGAGAAGTAATAATACTCGCTTTCTTTTATTTTTAATAATTATTCTATAAAAAAAATAGTTTTTCTTAATATATTTAAAGCTATCTTTATATATTTAACATTTAAAAAAAAATCTCTAATTTTAATCGTTATTAATAGAGAAATTCTTATTTATAATAAATCTTTTATTAAGTTTATAAAGCCCTCTAATTAATAAGAGTTTTAAATTTATAAAAAGATTTTATATATATAATATAAGTACCTTACTTATATAAATTATTTAGATACTTAAAATATTAAAAAGATAACTAAAATACATATTAAAATAGATCTTTTTGAATCTTCTCTCGATAATATTTATAAATGATACTTTATAATCAATCTTAAAATAAAATTTTATAAATGCTATATTATTTTTAAAAGATAGAAAAATAACTTAATTTATGTTAATCTTTAGAAGTTATCTAATATTTTTTATAATAACTATATTTTTTTTCTTTTTCTAAATAATTTTATTTTTAAATCTAATAAATTTATTTTTATTATATTTGTACTTTTTCTTAATAATATAAAATATAATTATTATTATTATACTCGCTTTCGCTTTAATTATAATATAAAATTTTAAAATTTTAAAATAAAAATCTTTGATCTGTTTAGAGAAATTATCTAAAAAAATATTATATTAAAAAATTTCTAAATAAATAATAAATTTAAATAATTAGATATTATTATTTAATATAAAATTAATATAATATTTAAAAAAGTAAACTTATTATAAAAATACTAGATTAAATTCATTTATATTAAAAACTATTTATATAATTATTAATCTACGAGTAAAGATTTATAAATTAAATTTATAATTATGTTTCTAATTAAGACTATCGAGTAAATTTAATAAACGATCTTTAATAAGCGATATTTAAGTACCTTACTTTTTAATAGTTATAAAACCAAATTTAAAATTCTTATAAATTCAAAACGTCTAAATAACGCTCTATAATTTAAAAGAAATTTTTTAAAACTTCAATAGAAGAAAAAAAGTTATTTCTATTATAAATAACGTATATCTATTTTTTTAATAAAAGATCTCGAGAAAGCTAGCGGGCTAATTAAGTCGATCTAATTAAAGAATATAATAACTCTAAATTTATAATTAGCTATAAATATAACTTTAAGATTTTTTAAATTAATCTTATCTTATTCTATTATATATATTAATAATTAAGTAAAATATTACTTCTTTTAAGACTTATATCGATTTTTCTTTTTTTTTAATATATTTTATTTATATATTATTAAATAAATGGATTTCTATTAAATTATATTTAAAGCTATTAATTAAAAAAAGTATTAAAATTATATAATTAAAAAATAAATTATAGACTATTAAAATCATATTTATTATATACTTTTAAATAGTAATGAAACTATTATTATCTTAAATATTAAATAGATAAATAAATTTTCTTTTAAATTGAAATTTTTTATTTTAGAGAAGAATATACATAATAATATTAATATAATAATTTGTTATAACGATTATCGATTTATCGAAATTATTAATTATCTTAATTTTTTTTATTTATAATTCTAAAAGAGAATCGCTAAAAGAGATATATAACTTTTATTAAAGATAAAGCTAATAATTTATTTAATTTTATTTAAATTTTTAAAAGAGCTTAATTAGTAATTTTAACTAATTTAAAATTTTTAGAAAAATAATTATCTAATATATTTAGTAATAAAACTCTCTCTATAGCTTTTATAATAGCGCTCTTAAATTTATTACTTACTCTATAAATAATTAAAACTTAATCTTAATAGTAAATTATTTATTTAATATTTTAAAAATATATAAAAAACTTTCTTTAGATTCTCTAGCGCTATTAATAAAAGTCTTCTCTTTTAAATTCTATAAATTTTAAATTTATAAAAAAATTATATTAGATTTTTATTATAAGATATATTAAAAGTTGTTATATAAGAAAAAACTAACTCGTTTATAATTAATAAAACTTAAACTCTAATAAATTCTTTATGAAATATATATATTTTAAAAAATTAAAAAATTAAAAAATATAAATATAATTTTATATAAAAGATTATATAATAGAAAGCTAGTTAAATTATTTATAATTCTAAATCATAATAAAAGATTAACTTTATCAAAATCTTTATTTTTATTAATGAATTTATAAGTTATAAAGTAATCTTTATATTAATAACTATCTTAGATTGAAAGCTTAAATAAATAAATACTAAAATTATTTTATTATATACCTAATAATATTAAAGAGATAATATATATTATTTAATTTATTAATTTCAAGATTAAAGAATAAAAGAATAAGATGTATAAGTTTATTTAAGTATTTTATAATTTAAAGTAATCTTTTAAAGTTTAATATAATATCTTTATAATTTATTTTAAAAAATTAAAAATTAAATTTATTATTATTAATTTCTCTATATTTATTAATAATAATACTATTATCGCTATTTATATAAATAATATCTTACTAGATCGCTAATTTTAATAAAATGAAAATATCAAGTATTAAGAATAAACCCAATAAAAAATTCAAAATAATTAATTTAAGATCTTATATTCAT